AAAAAAAAAAAAAAAAATGCACCGCCTAATTGATGGTTCTTTGTATTTTATTCAGTAGGGCAAGTTTCAAAACCTCCATACAGTTGTTTTATTCATTTAAGATCTGTTAAGGGTCATCAACAACGAAACCTAACCCAAAAACAAATTTAAAAATGCCAGTTTTCGACGACTCCTATATGTGCAGCTCACAAAGGTGACCCATTCACCCTCATAATCACTTGAAATAGACACCTTACTTTTTCTCTCGTTCTTCTGCTCTAATTAAGCATCAAGCGTTAAAAACGGTTTTCGTGCTTACTTTGATGAACATACTGCTATGGAAGTTACTGTCATTCTGTTGATGTAATAGTAGAACTTCCATTTACTTTTTTCGCTACCTCTTGTCAACATAAAAAACCTTTTATAGGACCACATACTCAGTCTTGTCAGTGGTAAAAAAAAAGTACCCTCTCCGTTCGCCAACAAATAAGGAAATTAAAATACAAAAAACCGTCTCACGGAACGACAATTACACGTTTTCAAAACATACTTCTATCACATGATTAAGCCCAGAATAAAACTTTGTATCAAAGGATATTTTGAACAACACTCTATTGTCCTTCCTCTTCCTTTCACTGGAAATCCTTTCAAAAATAAAACTAAGAACGTTTTACTCAATTTATTCCTGCAGTAAGTTTTAAAACGACTAATTCTGGCAGTAATTTTCAAAGAAACATACAGCCGGAATCGGTTGTAATTTTAGTAGTAATTTAATGCAACGAGTTATCTCTTAGAATCAAAATCGAAAGCCTATGAGAAACAGTGGTGCCAGAAAACCGTAAATAATACAAAATCACTTTCAATGTCCAACATGTAAATAGAATGACAAGATTGAAAACGAAAATTATGATTGCATGCATCGTTCACGGATAAAAATTAAATGCTTAATTATCAAAATTAAAATTTATTCATTCACTTTACTTCGTACGAGGCAAAATCTCCATAACAAAACCCCCAGATTAAATACAACAAAGTCGTTCACTTCTTCCTTTTTCTCATTCGAACATAAGAACTATCATACGTATGACTGAAGCACCGCTCAAATTTTTAAACTTACAGTTACATATTTTACGCCACTCCTCATCAACTGCGCATTAAAACTTTAGCCTACCCTGAACGAATCTGCAGCACGAGTTTAGAATTTAAATGCATGGCAATTATACAAGCTGGGTTTTGGAAAAAACAGTCTCAGAGAATGAACAACTGTCCAAATACACAACAATTCCTCTATATTTATAGAGCAAGCTTATAAATAAACCCATAATTCACAAGCGGTGACAATATTCAGCTAAACCAAAATTTAGTGGAAACAGAGCAGCTATTTATTCAGTAAACAAGCAGAGGTATCACTAAAGTTTATTTCACAAACATCAAGAACAAAACCCACACGTTCTTTTACAAAGCTGATTTAATGCAGTGTGGTATGGTTCATAATTGCAAAGATGGTGTACTTGCGAACAGTTCAACGCGATATCTACGCAGACTTCTTTTTTTGATCCTGAAGCAAACAGCAAAAAGAGCTAATTTGAAGTCAAAGCCAAGACAATTACAGATGTACTAAACGCACTATCCTCTCTACAAACCAATAAAACTTCTTACTGATCCCACTGGCGATTATGCTACTTTTTTTCTCAGTTCCAACAATGATTTCATTATCTGGTGTAATAGTCAGCGGCAGGCCTAAAAACACCGCCTCTTACTCACCAGCATCATTTTACAGTAACAAAAGTGTAGAATGACTGTTATTAATTGTTATTACCAGTTCTCTTATCGCTGTAAACACTTCTTCTTCTCCTTTCCTTAACCGCATCCCGAGTTACCATTCCTTCGCCACCTACTGGTGACTCTGAAAACTTTACCATTACAAGAATAATTGAAGCTATTGTTGACTGACGGCCCCATATATATATATTTCAGGCCTCCTCCTGGCAAGCTGCGACTGGAGCGACGTCGCTGTCACCGCAGCTTCAAGCAGCCGCGGAGACATGTCGACCGTGTCAACCTCGCGTAAAGGCCGATAGGTCTCCTTATAATGCCGAAAAAGAGTATTTTCCAGTTGCAGATTTACAAACAATCGTGGGACATTATGAACGGGTTTGACCTTCTGTAGCAATAGATTATTAAGTAACGTGGAACATCAGTACGAGGCAAATGAGGCGATGTGGCCACGCCAACAATGGAAAAAATGTTTAATTACCCAAGTTTGAAGTAAGCTGTGCAGCGGTGCCAAGTGTGAGACATTATATACGGGTTTGACCTCTTGTAGCAGTAGATTATTAGGTAATGTGAAACAGCAGTCTGAGGCAAACGAGGCGATAGAGCGTAGAAAAGTTTGTGAAGCGGTGACTGAAACGAGTGGTATGAGGTGCAGTGGTAGGCGATGCAACACCTTAAATAGAGGTTGGTGGTTCGTTCCCATCAAAGGTGGAGAAAGGAGTTTTGCGTGTATCTGAGCATTTACACTGACGTTACATTTGTTTTCATATTTCGCTTCTCTCTCAGGTTGGAAAACCTAGAAGAAAAGCTGCATTAGCGCCCGCCAGATAAAGGACTTTCCAAAAATTGGACTTTTATAAGGCAAACCGATCAGGAGCCGAAAGATAATCCCGCACTTTCAGACGAAACCTGGTGACGGTGAATAGTGTTTGGCTATTTGAGACCAGAGATGGTACAGCGCATTGCCCTCATACATTTTTTTCCATATGAATTCGTCCATGTACGAATTCAGTTGTGCCCTTTCCGTCCCGTACCGCGACTTGTGCCCCTCCTTCAAATTCTGCCATAGTGACTGAATGCTGTTTATGTAAGCGCAGGTCTCAGAATGAATAAAGTGGAGGCCGTGGTTGACAGCTTCATGCTGGTATCCCTCTGGCATGTGCTCGATGGTACTATATGTAGCCCACCGATCAGACACTATAGTTGATTCTGGAACAGCATACTGCCTGATCAGTGGCAGAAGGGTGGCAGCACCTCGTCGAGCATGTAACAAGTAGTCTTCTTCAATGTTGGTTTCACAGTTGCAGATTGTAAACCAGAAGCTGTAGCATGAAAGCTGAAATGAAAGCAGCGTCGCTACATTGTAAGGTTGGCGGATCGAAAACCTGGACCTCCAGCACAGAAATTGGGAGCGCGACTACTGT